CCCCCCCCTCCTTCATAAAAAATGAACGGTTCCTTAAATCTAAAAATGGTAAAAAAAGAAGATTAATAAAAATATAGCACTACTAAACTCGGGTTCTTGTATTCCATTGTATTCTGGCTTGTTCTTTCGTTGCTTCCAAGCGTTCTCTCTGGCAATGATTCCTATACTTATTTCTCGTCTGAAAATCAGAACTTTCCGTATTCTGGACACTACTTCTCCCCTATTTTTTTTTCTCTCGCCTAAGTTTTTACGTGTCCAAAATGCGGAACGCTTGATACGCTTGTTACAATGTTTGCTGATCCTGCTCTCACACCGATTTTTGCTCTCAGTGCACATGCAAGATAACCTCCCACTGGAGCGCTTTTTAACGGGCACTGGTGGATTGGGTTGAACTTTTTGTTTGTTTATGTTGGTATCATTCGAAACTCTTAGGTTTCTTATCGTGTTAACAGACTCGTCATTTGTATTTTGGCGTCTTTTAATCGCCTTCTATGATGTTCAGCATCAGGAAGTATAAACATCTCATGGGAGGTGATTCCTGGCCTGCGTTCTAACTTGTAATAAGCCGGGAAAGCAGGGCTGGAAGGAAATCGAGAGCGAAGTATTTCCTCAGTGGATGCAAATCTTATTATCCGTTGTCGTCAGTTCATGCTTTGAACAAAGAGCTTAACAGATTTCATGCCAGGTGGTTTGAAAAAAATCCATATATTTAATCTGATGGGTCACTTTGGAAGAAAGGCAAAAATGGAACCGGGAAGTTGGCTAAATAACTTCCTCGGTAGCTGACTCCAAAAAGCGAAACAGCCAACTTGACATGCAGCTTGTAATACTATCATTTGCCTGAAAGGTTACCAAGCGGATCTTTCGATCGCTCGTCATCATCACACACGCAATTAAACTTATGGTGGCTTTAGTTAGAAAATCGCTTCTCTCCTATTTTTTTTCGTCATTTTACTAATATAACCAGCAAATCAAAAGAACTAATTGGATGATTGTATTAGTGAGAAAGGAAAACGTTTAAGCCAATCTGCGTAAGTGGGTTCTGCAGTTCGTGCGTCAGTTGCATAAGTACAAAGTGTTCCCATTATCTAAATTTAGTACAAATTTTGAAATTGAAGATTCGATCTTGGTTCCATTTATAGAAAGAAACCCCTCATCTTAGATTTCAGCTTGAAGAATCCACGTAAAAAAAAAATGAAACAGAGTCGTCCGGATTGGCCATGTTTTCTAGATCTCGTTTCAGAAAGTTAGTATCGTTGCACTACGTAAACTTTAGGATTAGATCGGCAACTTACGTTGATAGAAACTCTGATTCTAAGTGTTTTCTTGTTCTAGCGAGTAAGAAAACTAAACAATATGGATTATGGAAATCTGAAAGCAGATTATGAATCTCCAATTAACGCCTATCGTTTTAGATGTATTTGACACGTAATCAGTAAAGTTACTTACTGGCATGGCTAGAGAATGGAAACTATAAACCTTAATTAACTTTAAGGCGAACACATCTCTAAGGCAGAGTTTTTGCAATAGTTAAAAATGCTCTAAGGTAACTTTGCTAATTGTTCATTTAGTTTGAGTATTGGTTTCCTTCGACAGTTTGAATTTTGTCTCTGACATGAGATGGAGTTTCATGCTCCTTTAAACAACAAACAAGCTTGCTGCTGCCACTTTTTTTCTCGTGTTTCGTGCCTCTCTTTGAATTTTAAATCTCCAAAGATAAATAGATTGTGTGATTTGAAAATGGATAAGAGAACAAAATAACTCTCATTTAGTCACGGGCCTTGAGCTACAGTTGTTACAGCGTATGAATAAAGCCCCCATGCCCCATACTGAGATGAAAGAGGCACGAATTCTGCAGTGCTTTCCCTTTAATGTAAAAGTGACCAGCGCTTCAAATTGACTTGGATGTAAATTTGTACGGGAAGCTTGGCATGTGTGATGGACTTTGAACGATGCGTTAATAACAATTCTGAGTAGCCTGCAAAACAAACAAATACTTTGTTCGGCTCCAGACAAATTCCTTAAATTCTCATTCAGTCATAACATAAATTTGCAAAACACACTACAATATACACGCACTAGGTAGCCAGCAAACACAAACAGACCCGAGGAACATTCCGTGGAGATTTAATCTACAGCTAAAATAGAAATCATATCGTCAGAGATTAATAATCATGTTATCTCCTGTATGTCTTACGTAAAATCTAATATACAAAGCAGGCAGCATTTCGCTACTTCCTAAAAATAGACACAGTGTTTCGACTTGATTGCGTTACACAATACGAACCTTTCTGTCGCGCGTTGTGTTCATATTTACAATAGAATGCGACAACCTTTAAGCACGTAGTTGCAAATCAGTCATTCGGCATCAGTATAAATATCCAGCAAAATCCTTTAATTTCAGGTCAACAAGCACGTTTTGCAATGGTGCTAAATATGTTAATGATTCTCCAACCGAGACGTGACGAAACCTAACTCTTAAACTGGTAGCCAACCGCAGCAAAAATCATCTTGACCTTTCATGCAATCTTTTCCTCCAAGAGGTATCCTTTTCGTCTGTTATCAGTAAATGTTTTACCCCAGTGCGAGTCAATAAGTTTCTTGACAGTCGGAGTAACATGTCACATACAAGCACACTTTAAAACAATTGTTATTTGTTTTGAACAAAAGTCGAATTTACTGTACTTTCCGAACTCAAAATATAAAATCCTAAAGTAAAAAAAAAAAAAAAAAGCTTTCGTCGATTTTGCCCCGTTTTGCTCTACGTTACCGAAATGTGTGTGTTCCAAATGCAGAATTAGCAACAAAACATAAGTTGAAAGCAAACGACTATTTACACACTTTACTTGGTGGATGTCATGGAATCCGACGAAGAATATCCCGAACCCGAGCCCGACTTACTCGAGCCTCCAGTCTCCAGGAGTAACCGCTCAAACTGATTGACCTTCTCGTTCAAAAAGCCCAGCACGTCCGTTACATCTTCCCACTCGCACGCTATATCATCGCTCGAGTTCGACTGTTTGATGGCTGGCGTGATTTGAGACGGCTGCTTTGGTTTTAAATTTGCATTTTGGTTGCTAGTAGTTGTCATCCCTTGGTCTTTTATAGCTGCAAGGTCCTTGTTTCGTTTGAACGAGTCCGAGCGTTTCGGTGGCTGCGGTCTTCGGATTTCCGTTTCTTTACCAATTTCCTTTGCGTTATTGTTCACGTCTTTGCTGTCGACTCTTTTAAAACTCCTCAACTCAGCTTCTTTAGCTTCTTTCCGCAGCTGTCTGCTCTCCGCTTCTTTCTTTTGAAGCGTTCGCTCGTACTTCTTGTTCAAATTGTGCAAATATCGTACCATTTCCTTTTCCCTCTTTAACTCGGCTTTTAGCTGATTTTGAGTGATTTTAAATCTGTCGTTCTGATATTCAAGCTCCTTCATCTTACGCTGCATGTTTTGATTCTCGGTCTTGAGCAAAATTATTATCTTCTCGAGATTCGCGTTTTCCGCTTTCAACAGCTTGATTGCCATGTGTAAATGCGATCCTTGTTCAACAGGTGAAGGAGTCCGCCTCTCCTTAGTCATGTCTATAGCCAGAGTGGCTCAAGTAAAGCGCACTCAGAAACAGGACAACCGCAAACACTAACAGGATCGCAGCAAGAATCAGTCGAGCAAAACACTGTCATAGTAATCAAATCGGCTGATATTACACGTGGAGGTATGCATATTTCAAATGACTTCCTTTGAAGCACTTGTTTTGTTCCGACCCGAGCTCTGACCCCATTGAAACTTTCACTTAGACGGAATGACGTCACAATAGCACACCCTAAGCTAATTTACGTCTCCAGGGACATGCGGTTGGTTGTAACGTTCCTTGATAACCGGTTAGATGCTCTTAATTAACGTTTTAACTATTCGATGGGGCGCTACAAAGTTCAACTTTTCTTCTTTAACCAAAGAAACGAAATTAAAACAAAAGCAGAAAGCGTGCGGTTTAATGGTTCACATACATCACGCCTCCAAATTAAACCCCAGCTTAACTGATAGACTTGGTAATATCACTTTCAAAATTCGCGTCACAGAAGTCGCCCGACTACATTTGCCTTGAATGCTTAGACTAAAATTGGCACTGCTTCGGCTAAATATGTCCTTTCGAGCGCCTGTCTTCTTTCAACAGAATTATTTGCACACTCTTTCCGCTGCAGTAGCCGCTTACCCCCGACTGCTCGATATCCTGTGGCGCTCAACCAAATCCTATTATTTTATAAACTGAAACAGCCACTATTTGTACGACTAAGTGAGCCAATATAACAGCTGATCATGGTGCTGTGTCAGAAAATTAATGTACATAACTGCACAGTAGATGGTAAACACAAACAGACCGACAGTGCAGTAGTCAAACAACTCAAACCAAGCTATTGACATACTTTTAGGATTATTTATATGTTTGGTATGCTTTTAAGACCACGATCGCGACCCTTAGAGATACCACAGATTTTATGGTCATGTCTACGTGAAAGTAAAAAGCTTAGCAGTGAATTTCTGGAAGTTTTGTCTTGAACAACGTCTCAGCGGAATGAATACAAATGAGTGACAAAAACTAGAGAGAAAAAATCTAACTTAATTAGTAGTGTTTACTCTGAAGTAACAGGCTTCCCATTGAAGGCCTCTGAACGACTGTAATTAGGTAAAAATCATAACAGGATCCCAGGAAAGGGCCATTAAACTACAGTAATAATTTCCCTTCCATGTTAAAACATATGCGAAGAAACAAAAGAAAGATTTTGAAGATCAAACTGGAAACCTGTAGTTGTCCTAGAAGCCAGGCGGCCCAAAACAAAGGCGTTCGGAGACAGCGCGGAGAGTTGAGTGGCTAAGCGGAGCGGCTAAGCCAATGAAAACTGTTGAACTGTATTATTCAATGTTCCAGCTTCTTAATAATCAATAATATCCCCGTAATATCCTATCTGTCTGTGTACAGAAATATCGTTCATTTTTACTGGGCCGCCGCTGATTGAAAAGGAGTTTTGAAACCATTTTTTTTGTTTATTTTGTAAATCGCGCAGTTGAATCAATATTTGTCAGAAGTGCAATATAATCAGTGTTTTTTTGGAACCGCTAAATGGTAAATTTTAATTAGTAATTGGTTAGGCCTGTTTTCGTCGAAGTTCCTTATGGCTTTATATCAGCTTCTTACTGAACCAAAACGGGTCAAGTAACTGTCGCTTCTAACAAGTCATTTCACTGTAAACATCGGCCATATTGAACGTATTTCACGAATGACACTTTCGCCCATGGGGGAAGGTGATCGTCTAATAGAGTGTATACTCATGGACCTCATGATTCGTCGCATGATCAATACCTACAGTCCATGGCCGAGTAGCTCATTTGTTCTTTACAGAAGTCTCTTCGATTAAGACCTCAAGTCTGAAAATATCCCTCCGAGAGCAACTTCCACTACTGCTTTCACATTGAATTAAACCAGGTCTTATAACATGTATTTTGAGTTCGTCGTTAAGTTTTTTCATAGACTGTTTTGTCGTCTGTAGCCACACAAAAGTTCCTTTGTTTCATATTTTTAGGGAGCTGTTA